TATAAGCTAATATTGTTATTTAATATCCTACAATACGTCTCGAAGAGAATGAAGTTTTCTTTAAGATAGAGTATTTTCTTATATTGAGTCACGAAGTCTAATTTCATTTTATGATGAAATTCCAAGCTGTTCAATGCTGAAAAATTTAAGTTTTTCATTTTTCACTGATTCAAACATCGATTGTAAGAAGTGAACATCTTCTAGAGTTATGTTCTTTCAAGTGACGTATATGATTTGATACTTTTCGGTAAGATTTAGAATTAACATTAGAAAAATAAGTGAATAGAACTTTTTGTGAATCACTTTGTTATGATGCTCTCGGTAAACATTTTTGCAGACATCAAAAGCCTGATTTATTATATATAACCTTTTACAACAAAATTTGAGAACCATGTCGAGACGAAAATCTATGTTTTGATTATGCTAGATGTTTTCCTATGTTATCGTCGAATGCTTTCTTACTTTATTAGGTAGCATGGACTATTTTAAAATACTAAAGATATTCGAGAAATTTCGTTATTCGATTAAGATAACATCCTGGTACTATAAAGATTATTTGCGCTTGAAATAAAAAAGTTCACATTGGCAGCATTTTTTTTTCGTTCATTTTCGTTCTTCTTTGACAATAACAAAAGCTTTTGTTGAAAGTGAATACGATGAACGATGCTTAAGGTTCTCTCTGTCAGAAACGCCTCTCAGTACCCGTAAAGCATAGTATCGATGAAAGTTTCAGACAATGCTTACCTAATGATTGTGAGCTTCCAACAAATCTTCAAGATTCCTCTTAGCATCGCTAGAGAGATGTCAATCACTTAGTGGTCAAAATGGAGCTGTTCGTCCCTGCTCGTATTCTTGGTGACGATAGATTTCGTAGATATCTAAAACGACGAAAAAGAATACATGAAAAAATGATGTCTACAGTTTTTTTATTGAGTATCATCCCAATCGGATATTCTTGATACTTTTTTCAACTAAAAGAAGTTTTATTATAATGGAGTACACGCAGAAAAAATGAACAATTTAGAAGGAAAAATCGAAGACTAATATAAACAAAAAACTAAATCATCGAATAATATATTGCTTTGATACAATTGTCATATTCAGGAACGTTTAGCACCGCAATTACATTAAGTATTAGAAAACTCTTAAGAAAATTTCATTTGAAGTGCCAACTTGTGTTTATTCTAAAATCAATGGCTTTATAGTAATAGTTTTCAGGAAGAGCAAATAGTTCAGAACACGGAGAGTGAAATCCAAAAAGAGGACGGAAGAATCATCGAGCTTTTAGTATATAAAGTCTTTTTCCAATATTTTATCAAAGTTTTCTCATTTCATACTTTTCAAACAAAATTAGTTCATTTTGTTTCTTGGGTTCATAATACAAATGTGTAGACGAAAGCGAGACTAGTTTTGACATCCAAAAAATCCCCTATTCTCTCTCTAGATTGAAATATGTTATCTTTTTTTTTGTAGGTAAAGAATTAACATTAACAAGTCCATTGGATAATAATCAAACACTTGTTCCATTACATTCACACGATAAACATCCAGAGTATTTAATTTATGCTGGTATTGTATTTACAGTATTAAGTCGATTTTATTTATATGAATTCAGTAGACGTGAATGGCATCGAAAAGCTCCTACAAATTTAATTAATTTAGCATTACATAGTCGTTTACAAGAACAAAATCAACAAATTGTTATTATTAATCAAATACTTGTTGATGATATTAATCATGGAATATCATCAGTTTTTGCAAATTCAGTATTGGAAACTGTCAATGATGTTGAAATTCAGAATATTAAACATTTAGCAGAATTAATTGATAATATATCAAATAATGAAGATGATTGTTATATTCGATTTGGAATAGAGAATAAACAATTTATAGTAATATCATGTAAACGAGCTAAAGAATCAGAAGCAAAAATTTTAAAACAAAATTCAATAGCACAACCAAGAAGTGAACATTTACGTTAATCTCTCTTTGTCTCTTTTCTTCTAATTGTTACTTTTCTGATCTAAAATAAAGTGAAATTTTTTGTTCATTTATCGTATAGCCTTAGTGACTAAAGGACGAATGCTCATAAGATCCTAAATCGGCTGACCATTAATCTTAATTTAGATTATCTTCAACATTTCTGATACAAAAGTTCGACGAAGAAGTTATTTTTAGATATAGTTTTATTGACGATGTGTATACCTACACTAGCTCTTCATCATAACAAAAAATATGACTGAAAATATGTTTATGTACAATTAATAACTATATTTTCACATTAGGCAATGAAAATCCATTTTTGTCTTTACGGTATTTTGTAGAGAACTCTATAGTTTGTCTGACTAATAAGTCAACTTGAGATGATAAAGTCTTTTGATCTGTAGTCGATTGATGGTGGATCAAAAATTCTAACTTCTGTTATATGATTTGTTGTTATGGACTTTCTCTTGATTTGTCCTTGATTGGCTTTTCGAAGATCAAATAACATCAAAGCCAGCATAAAAAATGAGAATGAGTAATTATGGACAAATCGAGACTAAACTATGATTATGTGTTCTCGTGCAGTGCATTGATATGGACAAGAAAGAAACATGGAATAGAAAAGCAAATAGTAGATTGTAAATAGATATGTATTCCTAGATATAGACGGTGTTTTTAGACATTATTATATGTTGTATTTTAATATTTCATATAATTTTGTTATTTAAGTGTTGATAATGGTTCTTTCTCTATGTCTTGAGGCAAAATGGTTAGAAAATCTTTTCTTAACGTAACTCAACTATGCTGTGATGATTCATAATGAATAATATTGATAAGCTAGTAATAGCACATGAACACATTTCCGTTGATCTTGATATTTCTCAAACTCATAAGTAAAATCAAACTTAAATTTTCATAAATTATATGTGTCCGAAAAACATAAAACAAGAGATACATTTGCACAAGAATGTTTGATTCAGTTGTGTCTAATGAAAGATTCATCTCAATAAAGCAACCATCGAATTTGTTTATATCATGAAAGGGTGTGGGTGTCGCTCTTTCCGTTATCTATATCAACCACACCTACACCCATTCATCCCACACCACACAGGAACCTTATTCATATTTAACACATATAGTGTTAGATGAACGAAACATTAACCACGAGTATATTAAAATGTCAAGTTATTGTAGATCGAAGTTCGCTCGAAGTATTTGTTAATGGTGGTAAATTTACGATGACTACTTTAATTTTTCCTAAATTAAGAAGTCATCAAATGCAAATAATTCCTTGAGGAACAATTCGTTACATTGAATTATCTTAAATTAATGCTTTTATAAATAGAAAATAATACTCATTATTTATCAAAAAGTGATACGTTGCTGTAAACGAATCAATGCTGTTTTATGCACAGTCTCATTGATCTCGATGGATCACGATTAACTATGTTCAGCAGTACAATAGTAAACAATGTGTCGAAAATGAGAACTAGTTTTTGAAGTTCGAATTCATGGGCAATCAAAGAATCTGCTTTTCAACATGAGAAAAATTACTTGAATAGATAAATCAGCGAGCAAAAATGTTACTTTGACTATTTTAGTAGCTGCTCTTAAGTTTGACTTACTGGATACGAGTTTATTGAACAATAAATAATGTTCTGAAAGAGAGAAAATTTTGAAATACATCTGCTAAGATTTAGATGAGTATTGAACTTAATTAAATTCATGATAATATACATATGATATATTTCCTTTTCCAATTCGGAGAAAATAGAGATATTGATTTCTGCAAAGTAATATACTCGTTAGTACTTGTTAAGCTTTTGATAAATTCTGTCAGATTGGAAGATGAGTACTTGGCTCGGTTGAATATATGGGCGAACGAAGTGTCAAACCTGCCACTATTTTTGAATTTCGGTCTGAAAATTTTCGTATACATAGAATTCAACTAGAGCAGCTTCCATAAAAAAAATTCATACATTTCGGACAACATCTCTTCGAAATATGAAATACATATTCTATACACGATCTATAGAAATGAGCCTATATCGTGGACGTCACAAAATTTCAGGTCACAATTCGAAAACCTGAGGTGTCTTAGACAAAAATTTGATAGCGTAGTCAAATCCAAATCTTTTTAGAGTTTGCCTATTAAACTTCTCTAACGCTCCAGAGGAACTTTTCTGACGGTTTTTACACAGAAAATTGTTCCAGAAACTGACCGAGTATAATTAACTTTTGATAGAGGACTTTCATGAGTACTCAATGATCAAACAGAAAAACATCGAATGGCTCTCGAATTTTAGAACAATCTGACATTTTTTCGAACCTTTGTGTTTTTCCCATGGTTGATTACTCATGGAAGTAGTTAGAAAAATAAACGGTCAAATTCAATATTAATATAGCCCGTGCTTGTACAAATGTTTCTTTTTCGTACATGCCTCTCCAGTCGAACTGTACTTTGATTTTCTATGACTAGCGCACTCTATATATTACTTAGATGACGAGGACCCGTTGGATTCAAAATTTTCTGACCCAAACTCGATGAACTTGACTTTTCGAATACACCATATTTTTAGAAATGTTCGTTTAGTTTGCGTAGGAATGTTATTTATGAAACTTTGTTTATATTATCCATAACTTAAATCATATTAAATGACGCTTATGTATAACATTATTTTAACTTATTTTCTTAACGACTTGTACCATTTTTTTTTCTTTATGATTCATACCAACGAGTGCAAAGGAAAGAAAGAAAAAAGAAAGGATACTATATTTTGATGGTTGATGAGAAGAAAACATATTTTTAACAACGCCTATCAACAAAATAGTGTATTTTGCACTAATGATGCAGGAAAGAAGAAAAAAAGAAAAAAATACTTCTGTCTTCTATTAATAGCTTGTCATAAGATTCCCATTTTTCTCATAAATAAAAAATCGAGTATATCAATCTCTCAGAAGAATATTCAACATACGATCAAAGTCGAGTAGAAAAACAAAACTATAGCTTTAACATAATGTATAATTCTCAAGAAATAGTATCTATATCTAATAGAAATATTCCATCTCTTATTACATTACCTGCCGAACTTGTCTATTCTATTCTCGACAATCTTGATATGTTAACGATACTTATATCATTTTGTAATGTTTGTAAAAGACTAAAGAATATAACAAATACTTATCATCGATATAAAGTAAGTTTCCACTTGACTTTAACTAATAAACATAACTATTGGTTGAAAATCATCTTCAGTCTAATTTATCGAAATGAATGGTTAGAATTTGATAATATTTTAAATCTTTATTTAATCTCTTATGTAGACATTTACTATATTGAATCTTACTCATCATAGAATCAATGAACAAGAATTCGAATGTCTAGTCAATACATTGCAAAATAATAAAGTGTGATAAGTATTCTATTCAAAAATATTCTATTCATATTTATTCTTTTTATATAGACATTAATAGAAATTCATCTTCGATGTAATAAAATTGATAATCAAAAGACAAAATCTTTAACTGATGTACTAAAAACTAATACAGTAAGATTATTATATATATTTCATACTTATCTTTATCATTTACTATTAGATACTTACAACACTAGTTCTTTCGAATAACACAATCAGTACTGATGGTGCGCAATATTTAGCGAATTTATTAAATAATAACAAAGTAAAATTAATTTTCCATTGATCAATCGAATATTTATCTATATTATTTACTATAGACACTAAAAGAACTTGATCTTGGATGGAATCAAATTACCTCTGAGGGTATAAGATATATAGCTGATGCTTTAAATAATAATCATGTGAGATAAATTTTCTATTCATCAATTTCATATCTAAACTTATAACTATGTCAGACATTGACTATTCTAAATCTTCAAATCAACAATCTTGGTAATCAAGGTACACAATATTTAACAAATGCTTTAGAAAATAATAGAGTACGAAAAGTTTCATTTATTAATTAAATATGTAATTCTATTCATTGACATAGACACTTATGACATTGATTCTTTCCAATAACTGTATTGATTATGAAGGTGCACAATATCTAGCTAATATGTTATGCAAAAATAAAGTACAATAAAATTTTGTATTCATTTATTTTATATTTATTTTCATTAAATTTATATAGACATTGACAACATTGATTCTTTCTGACAATAGAATTGGTTCTCAAGGAGTAAAATATTTAGCTAATGCATTATATAATAATAAAGTAATGAGATCAATTTTATTCTAATGAATCTTTCATCAATCTTTTTTTTTAAAGACACTTACCAAATTGCATCTACGATTGAATAGAATTAATTCCGATGGTGCAAAATATCTTGCCGATGCTTTACATAATAACAATGTGAGATAAATTCTATGGTGACAATAGTCTAAATATTTTCATATGTATTTTAATATAGACATTAACAGAACTACATCTTGGATGGAATGATATTGGTAATCAAGGTGTACAATATTTATCAAATGCATTATATAATAATCATGTAAGATAACCTTTTCTTTTAATCTTATATTGATTTCTCTCATTTCATACAGACACTTCATATTCTACATCTTCAATATAACAAGATCGATTGTATAGGAGCACAATATATTGCTGATGCCTTACAGAAAAATACAGTAAATATATATATATACTCTATTGATCCATTTAATATTCATCTTTTTAGACATTAAGAGAACTTTATCTTGCATGTAATAAGATCAAAAATCAAGGTGCACAATATTTATTGAATATTTTGAAAAATAATCAAGTAAATCAAATATTTTTAATGATTTATATTATTGTTATCATTTAAAAATAGACACTAACAACTATAAATATTCAATCAAACAAAATTGATTTTCATGAAATTCAATATTTAATAGATATATTAGAAAAACAAAGAATTCAATTTTAATAATAATAAAAAAATAGTAGAATATTATCACAATATTAAATTTTTGACAACTGTTATAAAATATCAAATATATGATAAGAGTGAAAAACCTATTGATTACTATGATGTGATATAATCTACATTATTCGATTGATATTGCCAATGAATGTTGCACATTATTATTATTATTAGTCATTATAACATCTTTCAAAAGAATTCTCTTCATACTAAAAATTAATAGATTTCAAAAAAGAAATACAATTTTCGAAATATTTTAACTTATCTTATCTTCTTGAATCTTCATTTGATTTTATTAATTATAGCCAGTATAGCAGTATTAGTCGATTGACTTAGACGCTGCTGCTAACCCATGTGAAAATTTAAGCGAAAAAAACTAGCTTGAAGTAGCTTATAATTTCGTTTAAAATGTGCTTCCAAGTACAGAACAAAATGACCGCCAAAATATTTTGACTCTTGTCTATATTTAGTTGCTATAATGTCTTTATACTGAATTCCTTTGAGACGAGTAGTTTTAGAAAAAATAACATATTTTTGAACTTCGACTTGTAACTTTGTAAACATGTGCGGGACTGATCTCTGCTAACTAAATCAGGTAAATTATGGTAAAACAAATAATCTACTACGTACTTTAACAGTCGTAAGTATATATCGAGAGAGTTCTATAACATACCCGATCAAAACTCGGAACGCAAAATAATCTTGAAATTAGCAAAATGGTCCTGATGTACTTTTTATCAATAGTTAGACTACATTTTCATACTTATTATCAGGATTTTTCGGTAATTTTTGTATAGATTGTTAAATAGATAAATCAGTCGAATATATACAAACTTGATTTGATAGCAGTTCTATCACTCCTTTTTATTGCAAAAATTTTTTTGTTATTTTTTTTCCTATTGTTGGGATAAACTCTTTAGTGTTGTTATAAGTATACTTATATATATATATATTTATAAAAAAGTATGAATACAAACATACATCTAAAAATGATAGTTCTAATTCTTCAGATCATGACTTTTGCCAACGCTCTAGCTGTCCAACTGTTGGAACATGTAAATCGATTCATTTCAATAAATACTTTGTCTTCTCTTCTAAAATAAAATGAATAATTTTTAATCCCATAAAAAAAATATGTTGCTTTCATTTATTTATCAATATCAATTCTCACTTACGCTTGAACATGTCAAAAATGCCAACAGATCTAATTTTTTGTAGGCTTTGAGCTCAGCTTAGAGTGTGAGAATGGTGCAAATTATTTCGAATTTTAATTTTCACTTTTCGACATTGCACAAATAACAAAAACTCTTGATATCTATCGAATTGATGAAAGTTGTTGTTGAATTTACATCTAATCTTACTATGGTTATTATGGAAAAGAAAAACTTTTACTTCAATTTATTTCTATTGGGAAATCACTGAGAAACTATGATGTGTTTAATCAAGCATTTTGTTTACATACGATAAATATCGATATTGAATCGCTTCTGTATATCAGCTTTATCTATTGAATTCATGCAAATGAGATTGTATTTATTTAATATTTATATCAAATATTAACGGTCATCTACCATTTACGAAGTTTTGTGCTTTTTTTCCTATATCATTGTTTGATTAAGAAAGGAGATTATTTATAATATCTGAATTTTAGTTTGGACAAACAAAACATCATAGAGAAACTAGGAAAGAAATTGTACCATATAGAAATCTCAACGTGTCTAATGATGTTTCAATAAGCATGAGCTGATATGCAAGCACATGTTTTATCGGATATAGACAAACTATTTGCTAGAACTTCTTTTTTTTTAAACATTAAAATGATTAGAACTACAATTAAGTTGAATCAAGAAAAAAAAATCGTTTTAGTTATTGCATATGTCATTTGATTGCACAGTCAAAGCTAACATCCGATGTACAATTAAAAAAATTAAAAGCCTATAACTGCGTACTAAATCTTGCTTGAAATAGCTGAGTAAATATTAATAAATAGACTCTTTTTTGCTACATTGTCTTAGCCAAACATAGCTATCTCACTCTAAAAAAAAACTGAAATTAGTCATTATAGTCGCAAACATACTCAATGATACTACAAATTCAACTTTCTTTTTTTTTTGCCGAAGTAAAATAAGTAAAACAAATGAAGTAATCATATTAATTTTTTTCTTTAAACCTCTTAAAACTCATGATACTTTTGAAAAGTAGTAGACGTTTACTTTTGTTTTAGAGCGTTCCTCAATAACAAAAAAAAAAAAAAGTTAGAAGAATTAGTCACCATATCTAAACGGTTATCCTTTTTTTTTTCCTTATTTTACATTTAGTTGAAGATTTTGTTGAAAATATTTTTGTTCTATTACTATACATTTCTCACCTATTATTCATATCTACTAATTTTTCCTTTTTCCTTCATTCTGCATATGTCTGTCATTAATTTGTATTAGCTTGACCTTCTTACATTTTTTTTATATATATTAATAGTAGAAGTTGATGACTAATTTTTGAAGAAATTAGGAAAATCTTGCATACCAAAATGATATCATTATGCAAAATATTTATTAATTTAATACAGCAGATAACTGTCAGAAAACGACAACGAAGAAAAAAAAAAAAAAACTTTTTTTTCAATAAAAATATTTTCAATACATGTAATAGATTTATTCAAAAGAACATATCCAGTTCTGTTCTATTACGACACTTTGAATAGAAATCAGATACAATAAACTATTTATATTAAATAATAGCTTGCCACAATGTGAGAACAGTAAATTATCGAAATGGATAAATAAACATAGAGACACCGAATAATGTAGTCAGAATCTATTGCTGGAGTTAATTATGCTCGGCAAAGAATGATACATAAACTAATATCTCAGCTTCCAATAATAAACATACTCTACTCTATATTTAGATACATAAATTGTCTAGTTGAAAATTTAGGACAAATATGACAGACAGATCTGATAGCTTGTGTGATATCTGTGTCATACATGTCAAATTTTGTAGAATTGTATTCGAAGATAAATTCTTATATGCAATCAATCTTAACAATAGATACTTTTTTTCTTGTCAGTGATTACTAGATATATCTGATGTTACATTTATTTTTATTTCTATTATCACGACATCATGTTTATTGTTGAAATAAGAACATCAAATAAAGAGAAAGGAAAATAGTATGTAACGGGTTTTTTTCTAAGCATTGAATAAACTGCGACCATATTTTGTATTACCAAATCGTCGTTGTTGTTGAAATAGTGATGGATCATTAATAAAACGTCTAAAATCACGATCATTAGAACGTTCATGTTGTGTTTGTTCAATATCATCAATTGTATCGTCCAACGATAATGGATAATATTCAAAATGTTTTCTAGACAAAAAATCTAAAGGACTAGCCTGTTGTTGATCAACATAAATAATTAAAATTAATAATAAATAAATGAATGCTGTTACACATTTCATCATAATTTTGTTGTATCTTATTGAAAGTTATAATTAAAAAAAAACAGTTTATTTGAATAATCTAAAATGTTAATTACGAAAATAGAATTAGTAAATTGAAACTTTGGAAATAAATTGTTCATTTTTTAAATGGTTAATTAAAGAATAAATTTTTTTCTGGGTGCACTGTATTTTAAAAGAAATGTTGCAACGATTAGCTCTGTGAATCTCTCTGATTTTTAGTATATTAAATCTGTGTGATACTTTGAATTGTTTTTAAATAATATCAATTACAGAAACTATTGATAAAATCAACCTGTGTAAGAGTCGAATAGCTGCATTATGTCTCAGTTTTTAATTCTATAACTATTGGGTTGAAAGTATTTTTAATTATTTAGATTCATCGTTATATAGTTATAAAGGAAATTTGTATATACTAAGATATACATGAAATTACTTTTTAGGGTGTCTTTTTCTCACGTAGGATAGTTTTTTTTTAAGAAGAATGCTAACGAGGTAACATTGCCAATCGTGGAACGCCCAAGGAATTCCTAGTTTGTTCATATGCAGGATTCGTTGAGATTAGTAGAAGTTTAAAAGGATTCGAGTCAGCGCGTTGTTCTTACGAGGTTATGATTATTTTATTGAATTTTCGACCTTATGGGTAAGTCAAAGATTGGATGATACAAGTTTCTCTCGAAATAATCAATCATTGAAGTGATTGGTGTTCCGGTCTTTTGTCTATAAGATATGCAAATTTTCTTGATTGTTAAATATTTCGAGAAGAAATTACCTTCATAATAAATTTAATACACATGAAGTCTCACTTGAACAGACGTGACACTTTGACTTTTAGAAAGGGAAGAAAAGAAGAACTTTTATGTCTTCCTCTTTTTTATAGAAAGGAAAGTTATGAGTTTTTTTTAACTTTCCTTTCCAAAAAGAAAGAAAAGAGAAGTTGAAATCTCTCATATTATTACAAATTAACAGTATCTATATTATCAACCATAAGTGAAATAAAACACTTATTAGAACAACACCAGTAGTTCTAATGAACCTTTTTTCCTTTCTTTTCCTTTTATTTCAGGTTATCTTTCTACTACCGGTTTTCTGTATTTGTTTTTTTAATCTTTTAAATAATATTCTCCGTCTTTGTATGTTGCTCTCTCGTACTACGCTTTACTCAAAAGCTTTTCTTATTCTTTCTTATAAAGAGAAAAAAAAACTATTGAACACTATTTTATTTCAGGCTTTGATTAAAGTTTTTATTTTTATCAATAAAAAAGATAGATAAGAAAGAAAAATGTTCTTCGCATTTCTCTTATTTTCAACTTACGATACATAGACAAGTTTGAATTATTATTTGTCTGATAGAATGCATCTCGTAATCAATTGAATAGCTCTGAAAATGCACACAGCTAAAGATCTGCGGTTTTCATCGCTCGGAAATGAACACCGAGTGACGTCAATCTATGCGAAGTTCAAAATTTTATAAGATATCATCCACATTGTAGTTTATATTTTGCTCCGTAAAGGCATACAAACAGCAGTTTTGTTCGGTTTTTTTTCTGAGTGCTGAATCTGATACATCTAAGTCCAAAAATATCACGCATAACTACTCGAGTTTGCAAGAAAATATAAGTTTTCACTTCTGATAAATCTTTCAGAAATGTTTGTTTTCTTCTCCAGATCGAACCAAGATCGACAGAAAAAAAACTTAGCAAAATAGCTCATTTTTGGCTCTTTTCACTTGTCAATGAGATGATCAAAACTCATTTAGTTCTCAACTGAATGAGCTCACGTTTTTAGCAAAGACTTCTAATATGTCTATCTGTAAAACTACCGCGATAGAAAAATCGATTGTTACATTTGAAAATTAGTATATTATCTAATTTAATCTTTTTGTAGAGAGGCACCTTACATGCCTATCCTGAAACTTGAGCTCAAGTGGTTGCGAACTAGATGAATTTTAATCGTCACATCAAAGAACGCGTGGATCAAAAAAACATCTGTTTTGCTAATCTTTGTCTGTTAACCTTTGATATGTCTGGAGACGACAACAAAGATTGCCATGAGATTCAGCATGAGTAAAAACTTACGTTCTGTTGCAAATCCAAATAAAAAAGCATAGCTTTTTGGAAGTCCCAGTACTCCGAAGAAAAAACAAAAGAAACTGCAGTTTGTGTACCCTTGTAATGGAAACCATAGACTACAAGATAGTTTGATCTGAGTAAAAAATGAGATAAAACTTCCTTAATCGGCAAGGTAGTCTTTCGAAGATCCTGTTCGAGAACCTTTAAAATCATCTTTCAAAATTTGGAATTTCGCATAAATCGACCGCAAATCATCAGCTGCTTATATTCTGAAGTAATTTGACTTCTCTCGACGTACATTCTATTTTGACAAGGGTACTAATTACATTCGGGTAACAAATGTCTACTCTTTTATTCAGGGTAAGATTTCAGAAAAAGCAAAAAAAGTATTTGACTATTAATTCTCATTATATATAAAACGACTTAGTCTATTTCTATTGGTATTTCGGTTTACTATGTGTTTGAAAAAACAACATGAACAAGTAAAAACCAAGACAGGAAACTACAAATGAATGTTATTATTTTATACACTAAGTTTTTCTCTACGAGACTTGAGTTGTTTATCTTACCTTATTTCACTTGAAAACTATGAATAATAATACAAAAGGAGTTCTAAAAATATTTACTAGTAATAGCAAGACATACGTGATGGTACCAACAGCATATATTATCAAACCTTAAGATCAGATATAACTTTTCTGAATGTATATACAAGTTTGAGTTGATTGAAGACCACTACTAGATAGACAGAGAGAGACTCAAGAAATTAAATGACAGTATGTCAAACGAAGTGAGCAGAATAAAATATATCCTGGAAAACGAGAGATATATAGGGTGGGAGATAAATTGAGAGACAACAAAAAAAATAATCTGACAACGTCATCAACATGTCCCTGAGAAACCTACCTGATAAACAGACACTAAAAATAGAAAAGCTTTTAAAGCTTATCATTCATATCATTTCATAAGTTTCCTTGTCTGTTCTTTTGTAAAAGAAAGCAGGGATCGCCAGGATAGAGTTTCTTACTAAGAAAAAGCAAGTTAAAGTTTTATTTTCCATTCCGAAATGAAAATGAAATTATCAGTAGTATACATTGACGAAATTTCAGCTCAGATTTATATCCATCTAGTCTTTTGAATAGTTGACTTGCTCTTAATCTCAACAATCCAGTAAAATGGTCATAATTCCGAAAGGTACAAGGCATAATCGAAAAGTTCAGTTGAAAATATTTAATATTCATCGAAGTTTTATTTCATATAAATCTATTTCTAATAGATCATTTACAAATGCAATACATAAGCCTATCATTTTGAAAATATTGAAAAAAAGAAAATATCAAATAAAATTTAGTTTGGAACTCCAAATTTTAGTTACGAAGTCTATCAATTTCTCAAAGAATATTTCTTCAAGTGTAATAGAAGAGGCAATTAATTTCAATGATCATCACGAACAGCTGAGCTGAAGTGCCTCAACATTTTTTTATAGGAAGGTGTGGGATTTTGTGAAACACACTTTAAAAGGAGCGTTAAAGTATTCGGATACAAATTTAAATCCCATCCCACCAACATAACTGTGAAATCAAAGTCCGCCGTGGAACTAGAATGATAGTTGTCCTTTACTTTTCTTTCACAATCACTGAAATATACATTGCGATTAATCTGTTTCATCGTTTACAAGTAATAACAGTAGATAGGATTGCATAAACCGAAATATATATATTGATTGATCGCTTTTCTTAAAAATACCAACAGTCTCATTGTATTTCTCAAATTAAGCCAAGAAGAATCGGTCAAAGAATTTTTCTATTTATAATTTCCTTTGTTAAAGAAACGAAATTGAAATTTTTGCAAATAACATTCATCAGGCTCTATTTTCTTTAGATTTATTGATCTACACGTACAGAATAAATATTGTAGAATATATTTAATTAAGATTCAAATAAAATTTTAAAAAAATGTGTTCGATTTTTGACTAGGACAAGTGGTAATACATATATGACTATCAATATCCTATTTGCAACTATTAAAAACAAAGAAAACTATTCTATTATTCAATTAAAGAACAGTTTTAATAAAATATGATTTGATTCTATCTGAAAAATGGTATTAAAACTTAAAATTCTGAACTTGTTCGATTAGTATAGTACATATTAGTTTATGAGTTATCCTACAGCTAATTTATTTTGACTCATTTTCAAATATAACAACAAAAGGTTCAAACAATGACTAATATTATAGATATAAGAAAATGTCGAAACATCTTGATTTAATTATTTTAATAACAGATTTGTCATAGGAAATAAATATTAAAAAAAGCTATTAACCTGTAGAGTCTTATCATGACCATCTTCACGTACAATGGATACTATTAATAAAAATAAGAACGACAAAAAAGTACTTGCTAAAAAAAAATGATATGAAGAGAAAGGAAATATACTGCACAGACAGAGTTAAGCTTAGGTAATCTTCATTTCTAATTAGACACAAAACTACAAAATAATTTCAATCTTTGTTTGTATTAAGAAAACATAAACTGCATTTGACTGTTTTTACTAGATAAAATATTCTTACTTCTTCACGTTGTAGTCTAAGAATCAATAACTTCTTCAGTATCAACATCGAGAAATAATTTTCGAAAGTATTTTTATGAACAAACTCAAAGAACATTTTGAATATTTGAGATATAAAACTCCAAGAGAAAATAGCAAATATTCTACCACAGGAAATACATAAGTTTAAACATTCCTTGTCTTTTTCCGTCAAAAAATAACTCATAGAAACATAATAGGATCATATGATTAAACTTTACATATCATCTATGAACCATTTAAAATTTGAAGACGAATACACAGTGATAAAAAATACTGCTGAAAAAGTATAAGCTCAAAAATCTTTTGTTTTTCATCAAAGTTTAGCAAGACAACTTATATT